ATCTCATTTACTTCTCATAAAAGATTTCTTTTTAGTAGCTAGGAGAGAAAACCAGTTATCATATACTCAATAATAACAATAACAGTAATAATAGTCATTATTAACATTATCAGTAATATATGCCAGGCCCTGAACTGAACATATTCTCTCACAGAATCTTTAAAAGAACTCTACAAGTTGGTACCATTACCATCATCATCATCATCATCATCATCATCCTGAGGAAGGCTGTTTCTAAAATGGCTTCCAATGATTCCTGCCTTCTAGTATTTACTACTACCATTGTGTAGTAATCCCCTTCTCTTGACTGTGGGCTGGACCTAATGACTTGTTTCTAATGAACAGAATATGGCAAAAGTGATGGGTTGTCACTTTCATGGTTAGATTACCGATTGTTAGCACTCTCTCTCTTGCTGGCCCTCTCTCTCGCTCTGATGAAATAAGCTGCCATGTTGTGAGATGCTCCATGGAGAGGCTCACAAGGCCAACAATTCATGAAGAACTAAGGCCTTAGTCTAAAGCCTGTGAGGAACTGAATCCTGCTAACCACCACATGAGTGAGCTAGGAAGCAAATCCATCCCATTTGAGCCTTGAGATGACTGCAGAGATATCTAGAGCTAGAGGACCCAGCTAAGCTGCACCAGGATTTCTGACTCACAGAAACCGTGAGATAATAAATGTTGTTTTAAGCTACTGATTTTTGGGGATAATTTGTTACATCACAAAAGATAACTAACGTATTTCCCATTTTTTAGATGAAGAAACTGAAGCTTAAGGAGATGAACCAACTTTTTTCCAAAGTCATACAGCTAGTAAATTACAGAGCTGGGATCTGAATATATTAGGTTCAAGAGTGTTCAAGTCTATTTTCTTATGAGGTTCCAAGGGATTGGGAAACTGGAATTCTAGAAGGCATTCTACTCTCTGAAATCCTTGGAGTATAGCCATGTTTCCAGGAAATTCTTTGTGTGTCTAAAACAGGGATGGATAAAACTTTAAATGGTGCTAAGAGCTTTGAGCAACTCACTCCCCACTGCAGAAGAATGGCTGGTCCACCCATAGATCTGGTGGTAGTAACTAGGGGCTCTACTCAATAACACAATGGCTGAGCTAAGAGCTGCAGCCCACTCATTTTACAAGCACTCAAGCCATCTTGCCTATAATATACAAGGTGGGTGAATGATTGAGGGATACACACATTTTTGAGTATGAAAATGCATACATTGAATAATAAGAAGGTATGGTACACTTATTAAAAATCACGTGAGCCCTGGAATTGAAAAGCAAAGAGTCTGCCTGAGAGAACACCTCTTCCCACCAATTTTTCTTTTTTTTTTTTCTTTTTGCTTCTTCCCATCCATGAAACAGAACCTTGAACTTTGAACCACAGAGCTTTGTTCCAGTGTGGAGAGCAGCAGCTTGGTACTTCCCTATATTAGAAGCTCCCCAGCATGGAACGGTGAAAACATCTTCTCCCCGATCATCTCCCGTTGTTTGGCCAGAGCTCCACTCCAGTGGTCACCTTTATAAAATCAAATGAAGATCCACACTCCTTGGCTGGCTGCATGAAATTTGTCCTTCCTTGTCAGCTTTTCCCTGGTGCCAGAACAGCAGCAGGCTTTGAGCTCAGGGAGAATTTCCAGGTGGCAGGAGAGCAACAATCCTACAGGCCTGGCACACAACCTCTTTCAGCCAGTGTCAGGGGCTATACTTTGCTGGTGCAATTATGCAACCTGGTGTAAAGTCCACAGCCAGAGAGAATGGGGCAGGATTTCAAGCTGGCTCAGCACTCTGTGACTTCTTGACTCTCTTTCTAGCTTTCCTTACCCTCTTCTCTCCTAGCCTTCTCTCTCTTCTTTTTTTATCTCTTCTTTCTCTCCTCCTTCTTCTCCAATTCCTTCATCCCTATTAGCCTTCACTTTCAGGGATCCCTAACTCAGGGAACCACTTCTTATCACACATCTTGGTTTGTCTCCAACTGCTAGTGGTAGGTAGCTCCAGCCCCTGTCTGCTGTCTGAGCAATTTTCTTCTCCATCAGTTGTTTGTTTCTCTAATCCAGTTGGAATTGTCTGTAGACTCCCAGGGTAAAAAACCCCTCAAATACAAAAAATGGAACCTTTCCCTAGTGAGATTGCCTCCCTGGACTAAAATAGAAATGAAAGGAGATTTGCATTCTGCTCCCTTGAAAAGTGACCTTATGAAAAGAGAACAGGAGAAAAAGTTGCATTAGTATACAATGAAGCCCAAGGTATACGTATCTCTCCTCAGACAATGGGACTTCACTCCGAGTCCTCCATTTCTCACTTAATTGGGATTTATAGGGCTATTTTTACCCTTAATATACCTGCCATCCTGGTCTTGTTCAAGTGTCTCTGAACAGATGCCATCTGTACCACCTCCACAACCGGCCATACAACACAAAGTTGCAGACTCCCAGACTCCAGTGCTCTTGCTTTCTAAGAGGAGATCGTGGAGAGTGGTGGAGAAGCACGTTAACACAGGACAGAAAAGAGAACTTGGGTGGAGTAATTAGGTTATCAGTTTACCTTGTGCATGCACAATCCAAATGTAGGGTACAAGCAATAACCCCTTCAATACTTCATAGGCTGAGATAACACAATAGCCTTCTGTCGTTTCAAAGCATGTTTCTCAAAACCTTCCTTCTTTAAGATTTTCCCTCTTCTTCATGAGTTGTAATGATCACTCTTACCTGTTCATTTTAAATTTATTTTCTTAACTGATTTTTCGCAAGGAATTGGATTAATAGAAGCATGTATGCAAGTATGACCAAAGGTACTTACCAATGTTTTTTTTTTTAAAAGTGTATGAAATAGAATGACTAGCTGACCTTTGTGGCAATTTTCCACCTAGTTCTGTGATAGTAATTTTGTTGAGTTCCTGAACTTATTTGGCAAGTTCTCTTAGTGAGGCTGGCCTAATTCTATGTTCTCTATGGCACCTAGTCACTATGGCTGTGTAAGAGCCATTATTACCCAAAGTACCATAGTAATGGCCATGCCCTCCTATGATGTTATTGTTTTCTATGTGCCAAGACATTAATTGCCTTCTAACTTGTTCTAAAATTGGTAGGTATGGCACACTGGCAAGACTGGAGAGAAGAAAGCTGCTGGTGATATACTAAAAGGCTGCGTAAAAGGACATAGTGATGGCTCCTTCTCATTGGGGCACCTTCACATTTGCATGTTACTTCATCTGTTACGGCATGTTAGCTCAGGCTTGCCTTATGTCTTGGCTTCCATCTTATCATGGTCAATGTCTGATCTTTCCTTCAACTAAATGATTCAGGCACCTCCAAAGTTATTTTGGCTTTTCCACTTTGCTTTTACAGGCTTTTCATGAGTCATTGAATTGAATAGGAGGTTATTTCTAAACTGGAAGGTGAAGATAAGAGAAGGGGGAGGGAAGTTCTGGAAAATAACTAGGAAAAGACACGTTAGTGTTATGTATAGTTACTGGAGGAATAATTTTCGCTCAGTTTGGTGATAGAGGTATGCAGTTTATTTAAACGTGACTAAAAACACAGGCTAGAAAATAGACAATTTTTCTCTGGGTAACAAACCATGCAGTTTTAGACTCCTTGTCACTTGCTCTGCAACGGACAGGAGGGTAAATAAAAGAGAGATGGGAGGAACAGTTAGAAGGAAGAAGGGGCAAAGCACAAAATTTCCAAAGTCCAGATTCTTGGTCCTACAGGAAATTCCTGACCGTAAAGTAGTGCCTGTGAGGGGCCTCCTGACAGTGTTCCATCCCATCCCTAGTGTATGTTTCATGGCCCGGAGTTTTGTGTATTTTAGGTAGAGATGTGAGGAAGGTATGTTTAAAACTGATTTAGAAATAGAAGCAGCAGCCAGGACAGCATTTTGTTATCTAGGAGCAGGAAAAATAGAGGCAGGTGATGAAAAAGCAAAGCAAAACCTAATGATGAATATTATTTCTAGGAGCACAAGAGTTGTTATAGAAATACCGTATTTCTCAAAAATGCCTACTGTGATTTGTACCCAAATGAATAAAAAATACCATCATTTATTCTTGCGCATTGTGCCCATGTGAGAAAAGAACTGCAATTCATTCTATAGCCCTAATTTAGACTGCCAGGAAGAGGAGAGCCTTACAAAGAAAAGACAAGCTTTCTGAGTATCTGACACACAGCTAGCAGGGCTATTTCAGAACTGCTGAACTTAAAAGCCAAATTTAAGGAGGTGGGAGGGCGAGATTCTCATTCCCAGAACATCACAAGGATAATATGTGGCCCACTTAGTCCAAACTTGATGATGGCTGCCTGGCCACTTTGTAGAAGCCAAACAGGAGCGAGCCTGGAAGCTGGAGAACTCTCAACATGCCACTTCAATTTATTAGCGATATTTATAATCGCAACCGAAGGGGACTGATAACTGCTAATAAACGGTTGCGCTTTTAGCACGGAGACTCCTGGAAAGAACTTAAAGGAAACTGGGCGCATTGAGACCTCAAGAAAAGAAGGTGAAATTTTTTATCTATATAGTGCCTTTCCAGGGGCTTTGAAACACTTCTTAAACACAACCTCTGATGTGGGTGTTTTGTAATTACTACCCCCACAAGTAAGCTAGCAGCGATAAGCTTCTCCTTATAGGAAGGAAACTGGAGGATGGGAGGAGTTTACAAAGTGAACTCTACAACAAAGAGTTAACCCTTCCTCGGTAACCTCAGATGTGAGTATCTGCCCCCTCTTCGCTTTCTACTGCGCAACCAAACTGTGCACAAGCTTGAACCAACCTTGGCCGTCACATCCTTCGCCAATTGACTTAACAGGCACTTCCGGCAGCCTATCAAGACGTCGAATTGCCCAACCGTCACCCAATTACAACTAAAGCTTCGTCTAGGACGCTCCAGGTCGGGCGGGGGCGAATACCGGGTCCAGGAAAAGGGGCGGCAAAGAAGCTGTGACGAGCGGGTAAAGCGCACCAATCAGAGGCGAGAGCCTCCGCCCCACTAACCAATGGACAGGTTGGAAGTATGAAACGGGGTGGGCCTGTTGTCATGGGGGAGGTGGTGGCGCTAGGTGGCTACTGGCGGCCGAGGTAGAGGCAGTGGCGCTGGAGTTGGTCGGGGGCAGCGGCAGGTGAGTGCCGGTAACGCGGGCCTGAACCCTGGCGGCCGTCGAGGGGCGGAAACTCCTGCTTGGCGTTCCGGGGGCGGAGACTAGGGGAAGGGGGCCTGGAGTGCGGGCCCAGTGGGGGCCGGGGCGCGGGCGGGGGCGGCGGCGGCGGCGGCGGCGGAGGCGGAGAGTTAGCGCTGACTGGGCTGGTGGGAGAATGGCCCGGCTCCTGGCGGCGGAGTTCGGGCTGGGAAGGTAGGCTGGGGCCGGACCCAAGCAGGTCAGGCCGGGAGGTCCCTTGAGGCGTCCTAGTGCTCCGGTCTGGGACACTGACCAGCGGCTGGTGTGTGAGGGGTATGTCCCTGGGGAGACGTGAGCCGCCGGAATCCCAGAGAGCAGATACGGGGTGACCGGTAACGACCTGGTTCGAGGGCTGAGTGACTCGGGAATACCCAGGACGGCTCGGGTGCGAGGGAGAAGCGGAAGCTCGGGAGCAGCCGGTGAGCGAGACAGCTGGAGGGCCGGGGAAATTGGGAGTGGCCCCGGTCAGAGGGAGAAGGGAGGTGGGAAGCTAAACTAGGGCGGTCGGGTCCCGAGTGACAGGAAGCGGCCTGGGTCCGAGTGAGGACCTCTGAGGAAAGGCAGGGAGGGGCCTGGGACCTTCCTGAGAAAGCGGCTGTCTGAGGCAGAAGGGCTCCTGAGAGATGAGGAGCGACGGGTGTTTGGAGGGTCCGACCCGTGGAGACCTTGAACTGCTTGGGGGAGGAACCGAAGCGCCCTGCCCCCCACAGACTAGACTGGGAGCTCTGGGGTCTGAGGATCCTCTGGGGTCCAGGAGAGAAACCTACGAGCAGTGCTCTGGTTTGAGACTGGGGTGAGGGTCCAGCAGGGGTGTGGAAGTTCCCTCAGTTAGAAAGGAGTCAAGCAAAATGGGACGGGGTGGGGGCAAATAATTTCCCTGTAGGAAGGGACTGGTAGATAAGGCGAGAAAGTTGCTTAGCGAGAGAGTGGAAACTGGCAGAACAGCAGATATGAAGCATTAACAGTGGGGCCATGGATAGGCTTTAAGGTCTTCAGCAATAAAAGAAACTTCAGCTTCATAATTAATACTAAGATGCTATCTAGGACCAGAGAAAAGGTCCTAAAAAAGCAAGGTTAAATGACTGGCACTGAAGTGCCTTAGAGAAGAAGTTTGTTTCAGGATGATGGCAATAACATTAGAAAATAAAATAAGGACACTGTCAGGATGGGGAATTTGAGAGGGAAAAGGGGAGGAGTAGCTGAACTAAAGAAGTAGAACTGGGGACTCGATCAGAAAGAGGAGAGTGGTAAAGAGTACAGGCTTACCTTTGCTAAATCGAAAATAAGTTCAAATTTCATTTCCACCACTAAGCTTGGGTAACTTAACCTCCCTGTGCAGCAGTTTCTCATCTCTAGAATAGGGATAATAAGAGTGCCTACTTGATAAGAATGTTGTGTTACATGAGTTAATATTTGTAGAGCTTCTACCATAGTGACTGGCACATAATAACTAATGTGTATGGGATTGTTAAATAGGGGATAAGGAAAACACCCGAGGTCTTTAATGTGGTGGTTTTCAAACTTTGCCTTGCATTAGAATCACCTGGAGGTCTTGGTAAACTAGATTGTTTCTGATTCCGTAGGTCTGGGGTGGGGCCTGAGAGTTTGTATTTATCTTAGGTGATGCTTATGTTGGTCAGGAGACCACAGTTAAAGAACCACTGCTTTAATGAAAACACTAATAATGTGGCAGCCTTAAAATACTTGTCTACTCTGCTAAAGAGACAGGTAGAGGCAAATTGCTAAAAAGATCCTAAATGAGGGATTCCCTGTCTCAAGCCTGTTTTTCATGGTTTATTAATAAGTTATAAATCAATTTAGTGAGTTACAACCTGCATTGAAAATAAAATGAAGTAGAATGGAATAGTGCATTGCACTTGGTAAGGAAAAGTATTGTTTTGTGGAACTTTCCTCATACATGTGTGTACTAGCTTGCAATGTGAAATGTAGTTCTTGCAGTCAGAATAGTTTGAAAACTGTTTCGAGCCATGTAGTGGCTGCAAAAGCAACCCTCCAGTAGGGCTATCTAGGAACTGGATTTATTATGATTTATTTTTCTACTTTTTGTGGTAATTTTTCTCAGGTGGTGATACATTCCATTAAATTTCTTTAGCTTCTGTTTGTTTTTTTGAGTGTTTCTCTTACCACATATTGTGTTGTGCCTCTCTGATTGTGGAACTTTTTGGATATTGAGAATCTTTGGCATGAGGACTTAAGGAAATTTGAAGAAGAGAATTTGAGTGGTGCTTCTCAGATGTGTTATACCTTTGTTTCTCTTGTGCCCACTTGTTCACCCTTTGTTTTTTACCCTTGTCCTGTAAAGCATTGTCTGTAAAAAGCCTAAGTATACAGTGACATATTGACAGTAAACATCTAACACTGAAAGGAACTGATTTGAGAACATTACATGCATAGAAAATAAGCAAAAACCAATTAAGATGCATTTCAAAAGAGAAAAGCAGAAAGAGTATTTCCTTTTTAGAGAATAAAAGTATTTTAAAGCTTTTCTTGAGCTTGCACTTATACAAAACATAGACATTTTTAAGGGAACTAGATATATTTTACCTGTGTCTTATAGATTTCTAGGTTTTTGTGTAGAGAAGAAATTGTGATAATAGTTGACAGCAAAGTTCACCTGAGACAGTAGAGGCTTAACTACAAAATAAATAGTTTATTAAACAGGAGCTTTTGTTTTGATGGTTTTCTCCCTTGAGAATGAGCTGGACGTGGTATGTGTTGTACATTTAACTTATTTGAGGGACCTAAATATAAACTGTAATACTTATTTTAAGCTATATTAAGAATAAATATGTTTTGTGCTGCTCTTAGTTTGAATTTTCTTCTGAAAACTAGATGGTTTATATTTAGAAGGAGTTGATTTGGATCTGTTTTTGTGGATAGAAGAACAGAGATAGCAGTATTGAAAACTGTAAGAGAGCCCTGCAGCTCTCTTTAAAAACCTTTAATCCGGGGGATTTATGTAACCCTTTCATTAATGGTTTATGAAATTGTGAAGAAACTATTGGTGTAACTTTGCATGAGGATTTTTGGATTACTTTTTCTCCCTCAGAGATCATTTTTAGTTCTACTTCAGATTTTTATGTTTCTTTAACATTTTTATTTTTGTTTGGAAGACTGCAAAACATATAATCATTGCATGTTTGAGTTCAACAGAAGAAGCAGTCTTTCCACAAAACAAGTTTGCCAATTTTTTTTTTGTGATAAAGGCTCCAAAGATCAGAGCTTTTGGATTCTTTGCATTGAGTTAAATGGAGTACACATAACACCAAAATTGTCATTTTTATGTTATTGTACAGTTGGCAGACACATTCATGTTTGGATCATTCAATTTTATACCAACTGGTGGAGCAATGCAAAATGTTAATAACCGAGTATAGGAAAAATAAAATAAGTTCTTTATAATTGTGAACATTGAGCAGTTTAATCACTTGCTTTTAATAAATGGACTTTATTCAGTTAACTTATTATTCATCCATAATTTAATCATACTTATCTGTGAGTAGCTTTGATTGCTCAACTCATTTTACAGTGAGATTTGTTAATCTGTAATTGAAAAAATGGTGGTTTTTAAATCCCAAAGAAACTGTGTGCTCCTAACTATACAGTTTAATGAGACTCAATTTCATCTATCAAATGTGAAAGGATAAATAATTCAAAAAAGTGGAAGTTCAATTAACACTAGTTAATTAAGTTTATTTTCTATTTCAGGGAAGTCTTGTCTTTTATAATAGCTTCTGATCTGTTTTCTCTGCTTCTTGCCCTCCACCTACCCATATAACAAATCCTAATGGAAATGTTGGTACCTGAAATTCAAGTTCTGGAAAAATATAAGATCCCTCTATCTGGTTTTTAATTTACTGTGAGAATTCCTTTATCAGAAAAGATCCCTTGGTAAATTTATCACCTTAACAACAACAAAAAAAAGTATTTTATTTAACAGAGAACTAATGAAAAGCTGCATTTTATTTCAGATTTGCCAAAACACATGTATTTAATAGATTCTGATTTCTACAAATGGATCTTGAATTTTGCTGAGTTCAGAACTTTGGTATGTTTTCTTGATAGGGCTAGGGAGAAATGAAACAATGTGCTCTGTATTTCATTGTTTAAAAAAAAATTTTGTCTTATTTATTTTGATATTGTGATAAATCCATTATTTGCAAAGAAGATTTGTTTCAGTAATTAGCATATAGGAAATTTCATTATCAGAGGTAGAAACACTGTATAAGGCTTTAGGCTATTTGCTCAGATGTGAGACACAGGGAATGATAAATAGGATGTCATTAAATACTAGGTACGATATTGCCATATATATTTTGGGGAATATAAAATACATACTTGGAAATCTTGGGGCAAAAGGAAGATTGAAACGAAGGGAGAATGAAGAGTGTACTGACAAGTGCTCAAGGAGGAGTCTGGAGGATCCACAGGAAGTATGTCTAGAGGAGTGAGCAGTTCTTGGCAGTTTTCCTGGAGTGACATATGTAAAGGCAGATGATCCAATTTGCAGCATTCTCCTGTGGACATATTCTTTGTTTTGTGCAGTTTCTGCTGCTTGCTGTAACTCTTCCTTTTTTTTTCCCCCACTCAAGAAAGCATGTCCGAATGCAATGAAAAGACTGGAAAGTGCTAGTCCTAAAAGATGAGAGCCTGGGCAGGATGATGTGGATTTTAGAAGGCTGACTCTTGTCTCTGCATATGCAGCTCTTGGGAATAGGTCCCCAGCAACTGCAACTAGGCCAGGACTTCCCACTTGTCCTTTCCAGTGGAGAATGGGATTAAGCAATAGGAAGCGACCCCCAGTTATCCTAAATGAATTAACCAAGGAACTAGTATATTAGTAATTAATGTTCAGTAACCTTCCGTTCTCTCCCCACCAAACTCACTTTACCCCACTTGCTTGCTGGCATCTTAACATTGTT